GCGCCCGCCACTGGACCGGGTGGCCAAGGGTTGCCAGGCAACAGAAAGATGCTTTTTCTGAACAAAACCGTAAATCGGCAGCCGGGGCAGGGCGGGGGGGGGACACAATGACACAGCCCGGCAGGGCTAGGGCTGCCTGGGGGAGCACTCGGGACTCTCCCAGACCCCACAGCACCCAAAAATCTGGAGAGGAGAACCAGCCGTTGCTGCCCACTCAGCCAAAAGCTGCCCTGGCTCCAGCCCCTGCTGAGGATCCCTGAGCATCAACTGGGGACAGTGCTCGGCCCTGGGACCCCCCTGTCCGGCTGGGGTACAGGGCAGGAACAGGGTGTCCTCCCACAGGGACAGCCCTGCTGGCCTCCTCCCTGGGAAACCCTCCCTGGGGAGTCCCAGCCCCACCACACGCCCCATATGAGACTGAGCCCTTAATTTGCCCTTTCCCTCCCTCACCAGCCATCACGCACACAGCTAAATGAGCTCCAGGCAATTCTCTCAGAAGTTGAGTCCTCGCATTGTGGGAACACGGGACTAAAAATAGCCGATGTCTGTGTGCACGTCTCACCCAGGTGAATCTTGTTCTGGAGATAAGGGTAAAGGAGATGGCAGCTGCTACTGGCTCCTCCACATCCAGCCATCTCCCCTCTCTGCCTCAGTTTCCTGCACAGATTGTGCTGCCCAAACTGCCCAAACAAGCTGCATCAGCCTGGGAACCCCCGGCCAGAGAAACCCCCATGTAGGGGAAAGCTCCCGGGGCTCGAGCATCCCTCGGTGTGGGCATCACCAGCGACGGGCAGAGCCACCCTCGGTCTCAGGCTCTCCCCTGGCAGCCTCCAACAGCTGTGCTTCATCTGGGCATCCTCTGTCCCGAGGGGCTGCACTGTGGAGAGGGGACATATCCCCCTGCTCCCCGCCGGGGCACCACCAGCATCTTCCAATTCAGAGGCTCGTCTCAGCTCGACCCCAGCCCTCCTGGGTCCAGCCCAGGGTGCAGAGAAGCAGCCACATTTCCTTCCCACAATGACTCAATTACAAATTCAGAGTTAAATCTTCCCCCACAAGACGCCCCTCTCCACCCCTCTGACTGCTTCCAGTACTTTGAATGTTGAACACTTTCCAGGGATTTTTCATGTGTTCAGGCTTACCCCATCCACTCTAGTTCAGACTAACTTAATCAGCCTCATTTTATTGCTAACTGCTGTAGCTTTACACCTCTAGAAAAAGCACTACTTAAATTATTGGCACCTGCCAAGCTCTCACCACGCTGCTTTCTCTGCCCCTGTGGGGGCAGGAGGAGAGAGGGTGGATCTGTTTAGTGCTCCCAGCCTTTATTTCTACCAAAAATGACAAATTATTAGAATGGTGGAAATTAGAAAAATGGCATTTAGGTAACAGACAAACCTCCCTCTTTTCTTCAGCGGCATCTGTTTAAAAGCAGATTTGGAAATGGAAGGTGGGGAAAAAACAGGGTAATCTGCTCAATGCCAAGAGCCGGGCAGGGGATCTCCCTGGAGGGGCAGGGGAGGGAAACAGTCCAGGGGATGCCCCGAGAGCAGCTCCTCTGACACCCACATTGCTCGCACTGCAGAGCACTTGGGAGACACATCCCAGCAGCACCGTGGCAGGGGCATGGCTGGGCAGAAACCATCAGGTTTGTTTTCACGCCAAAACGCTGCTGGAGCAGACCACCACTGCTGTGCAGGAGCTGGCCTGAGGTGCCAGGGTTTTGAGGGGAAAAGGGCTGTGAAGCTTGGAGAGCGGCAGGGAGGGCTTCCACCCCTGCACTGTCACGGGGTCAGAGCTCAGCTGTGCCCCAAAGAGCCCCCCGAGGGTCTCCTGGAGCTCAGAGCCCCCCATGAGGGCAGCCCCAGGGCTGGAGGTGCTGGGCGCTCGGCCCCTGTGAGGGCAGCTCTCCAGCCCACGCAGCCCGCTGCTGACGGGGAGCACAAAAACATCGTCATATCCTTAATCACCAGCACAGCCGAGAAGGAGTGCAGGGGCCAGGCTGGGAGAGACGGCGAGGGGGAGGAAGGACTGCCGTGGGAGCACGGGAAGGGGCTCTGCCTCTCCGCAGCCCTGTCCCCGCAAAGCTCATCCCTGCCCCAGCTGGGACAGCCCCGGGTCCCCCTCCCCGAGCAGGGACAGCCCCTTTCCCCACATCCCCTGTTGCCCCTGGGAGATTTGCTCCCGCCTCACCCCATGGCTGGTCGGCAGCACTGGGGAAGAGCTTCTCAAGTGCTTTGAGCCCCTGCAAGGCTGTTGGGAATGGGCAGCACCACCCAGAAGAGCAGTCACTGCTCCGTGGCTGGGCAGTCCCAGGGTTCTCAGCTCTGCTCTCCCACCCCTCCACAGCACAGGGAGCTGTCTGGGAAGATAACAGGGCCAGGGGGATGCTGCAGCCACAGCAATGAAAAGCAAAGGGAACACCCCAGGGAAACCAGGAGCCGGGGCACCACCTGCATCTGTTTTAGAAATTACTTTATTGCACTAAAAAGGGGAAGTCATCTGTAAACAAACATTCCATTCAGGTATTAATATATTTTTTCACTCCAAAAATGCATCATTAAATCCAGCCACAGAAATATCAAAGCAGGAACAGTAGAAAAAAAGCTACAGGGGAGGAAAGACCCAGCCAGGCCACAGTCCCAGCTCCCACGCTGCCGTCCTGCCCATCACAGGAGTGGGGCTCACAGCAGCACGTCCCAGGGCTTGGCGGACAGCCACACACCACTCAACTCCAGCGAGGCAGCCCTGGGACAGGCGGGGGGGAACAGCGCAAGCCCCCAGGCTCTTCAGTCTGCCCCCAGGGCCAGCCCCAACCCATGCAGCAGCCCAGGGCCCTGCTCTCAGCATCCCCCCTCCCCAAACCCAAAGGCACACAGCTCTGCCATGGGGGATGCTTCACCCCCCAACCCCCTCATAGAGTATGAAAATCTTTGCCCAGCTCCTGTTCTTCCTCCTCTCACAGCCCGCTGGGTCCTCCCCACCCCCAGCAACGCCTGGGTCCCACCAGGCCCTTGCAGGCACAGCACCCTGGGGACCACAGCACCCCGGGGACCACAGTGCACTGGCGAGGGGTGCATGGGGCTGTCAGGCAGCAGCCAGCCAGGCAGGGTCCCCTTCCTGCCCCGGGTCTGCCTGGGGGCAGGATGTTCACTCCCGGCCAGGGACATGGCCCCATCCCACCCTCCCCAGAGCCCCCGTCTGCCCCCAGGGCGAGCCTGGGCACTCAGGGGCCAGGAGCATCCCCCGTGTTGGCTCCTGGGGGAGCAGTAGGAAGCCTCAGGTGGGAAATCCTCTGCGAAGGAGGGATGTGTCTGCTCCTTACATCCTGCACGGTTTGTTTTCAGCCACAAGCTCGACAAACAGCCACGATCACCCCAAATCCCCCCGACATGCAAACACCACGCTATCAGAACCATGCCTCGCGTACCTGAAACATATTTACAGACAGAAGTAAAACACGCTGGGAAAGATCAGCCTCAGATATAAATAGCCAACACTGAAATCTGCCATCTGCTGCAAAGGACAAGGAAGGAACATCAACTGCCACTGACAGAGGTTAACACAGAGGGACACGTGTGTGCGTGCGTCCACGCATGCTGCAACAGGCAGGGACGGGAGCACTGCAAATTCAGCTCCCTTCCACAGAAACATGCAGAGCCCAATGCACCGGGTAACACCACACTGAACAACAACAAGGCATCTGTTTTATCCACCTGCAGAAATGCCCTGACCAGCATTTCCCCCACTCCCAGTGCCTCCAGCCGGTCAACCAGGATGGCAGGGAGGGATGGGAAGGGGTGGGAGCACCCCACTCCACCCCAAAGGAAAACTGCAGAGGCCAGTCCCTTCGGGGACCTGGGTCCTGCTGGGCACGGGCGCTTTGTGGCCCCATGGGAGACGTCTCTCCTGCCCGGTGGGTGCAGCTGCTCACAAGCCCACGAGCCTCCCACAGGCAAGGGAGGGCAGAGGGTACAGAAGCCTCAGCCACAGCCTGCCCCCCTGCCCAGCGACACCCGGGGATGTCCCCAGTGCCAGCCAGACCACCAGCACTCAGGGACAGCTACTCCTGTTGCCTCAGCTTTTGTCAGCAAGCACATCTGCTGGGACACTGCCTGGGACCACCTGTGTGCCCAGGGTGAGGAATGCCAGGCCCACCCATGGCAGTGCCAGCCCCCGGCACCTCCCTCCTGCGGGCAGGGGACGGGCACAGGCAGCCTCCTGGATTTGGGCAAACTCAAAGCCCCTGAAGCTCCGTGAGCAGTTTCCCACAGAGGGTCAGCAGTGGGGGACACTGCTGGGGGTGTGCAGGGAGGGTGTCCCAGGAGGCTGCGGGTGTCGGACCAAGCCGACTTGCACATCTGTGCAGTCCTGCAAAGAGTCCAGGAAAGGCTCAAAAACCACAAACCTGACTCATCCCCCAGGGTCACCTTCCTTAGCCCACTCTTGGGTCACCTCTGCAGTATTTTCTCTGCAGTTTCCAAGACTAGAAACTTGTCTTTTAAATTAAAGCTGAGATCAATGCTATCACCTGACTCCAGGAGCTGGGGCTTTGAGAGAGGTGGCAGTAAGTATGCTACAGAGATCTACCCACCTCCAACGTTCATGCTGGCCAGCTGAAGACCACGGGCACCAGGAAGGGAAGAGCCCAGCAGGTGACATCCATCCTTCCTGGTGGAGACGGGGCCGGTGGCTCCCCACTTCCCGCTGGGCTCCAGGAGATGCAGCCCCAGGAGGGAGCAGGGAGGGAGCAGAGGGGAGAGGCTGAAACCTGCCTGCCCCACCACAGGAGGGCTGGTACTGGCAGAGCCCCACAGCAGCACTGCCCCCAGGGACCCCCACGCTCTGCCATGGCCCCATCCCTCCTCTGAGGGGCCCTTCCAAACCCTGCTCCAGCGAGGCCAGGGCCGGCCTCCTCCCCCTCATCCCAGCCCCACAGGCAGGCAGGCTCCCTCCGGGGCTGGCAGCAAGCGCCTACAGGCAGGACAGGAGGGTGGTGAGCGGCAGCTCCTTCTCCCCCAGCAGTGTGTCCCGCTTAAGGCTGCTGCCCTTGTTGACCACCTTGAGCTTCAGGGACATCTTCCTGGCATGGCCAGGGCCCAGCCCATCGAAGAAGAAGTCTTCATTGAAGACGGGGTTGCGGCTGTTCTTGACAATGGTGCTGCGCTGCTTCTGCAGCTTCCCGGGGTTGAGGCACAGCGAGACACAGCAGTTGATGCTGCGCAGGTCGACGAGGGCGTCGTAGAGGTCCTCAGCAGAGATGAGCCGCACACGCAGCCGGGCATTGGAGGGGTCGTACTCAGCAGCCAGGCGCAGGCTCCCACCCCGGCTGAGCTGCAGACTGTGCTCCCGGTCACGGCCCGGCGGCAGGTCCAGGGAGACACAGCAGTTGATGCTGCGCAGGTCGACGAGGGCGTCGTAGAGGTCCTCAGCAGAGATGAGCCGCACACGCAGCCGGGCATTGGAGGGGTCGTACTCAGCAGCCAGGCGCAGGCTCCCACCCCGGCTGAGCTGCAGACTGTGCTCCCGGTCACGGCCCGGCGGCAGGTCCAGGGGCAGCAGGGCAGCAGGCGGCTGCCCCCCAGCCGGGGGGCCCCTGCCACGGCGCCGGGCGCCGGGGCCGGGGTCAGCCGG